GTTCCAGAGTAAAATCGCTGAAATGCATACCCTATTCCAGAGTAAGATCGCTGAAAACCATCCCCTTTTCCGGTATTGCGAAAATAGATACCCTGTTCCAGAGAGGAGAGAGCGTGGCGTCACCCTCAGAAAGGTCAGGTGGCATGAGGTTCTCTCACAATTCAGTCAAATTGCTCAGTTAGATACAGTTTTTTTAAAAGGTTTTTCGCTTTTTTTACATTTGGCATTGCGCTAAAGGCCCCGGCTAAGGCACGGATGCAAAAACATGTAAAACACTTTCAACTGTTTCAAAACACAGCCTGATTTCCTGATAGGGTGGATTTTGTTTCTTGATCTTTGCTAACCTATTCTTTGGCTTTCAATGTTCATGGGGAGGGAAACATTATATTTAACAGACATTCGAGAACGTCTCCGTCAACTGTTTCAAAACACCGCCTGATTTCCTGATAGGGTGGATTTTGTTTCTTGATCTTTGCTAACCAATTCTTGGCTTTCACTTTTCATGGCGGAGGGAAACATTATAGGTAACAGACACTCAAGAACGTCTCTGTCAGCTGTTTCAAAACACATCCTGATAGGGTGGATTTTGTTTCTTGATCTTGCTAACCTTTCCTTGGCTTTCACTGTTCATGGGGAGGGAAACATTATATTTAACAGACACTTGAGAACGTCTCCGTCAACTGTTTCAAAACACCGCCTGATTTCCTGATAGGGTGGATTTTGTTTCTTGATCTTTGCTAACCAATTCTTTGCTTTCACTTTTCATGGCGGAGGAAAACATTCAAGAACGTCTCTGTCAACTGTTTCAAAACACATCCTGATAGGGTGGATTTTGTTTCTTGATCTTGCTAACCTATTCTTGGCTTTCACTGTTCATCGGGAGGGAAACATTATAGGTAACAGACACTCAAGAATATCTGCGTAGGAGGCTAGGCTTTCACCAACGTCAATGAAAATTTCCCCAGAGAAACGAACTTCCACAGGCCAAAAGAGAAAGTAAAACTATATAAAGGCCCGTTTACACTAGCGAATTTTGCAGTGCGATTCTCGCCGCGACCGAGTTGCATGCTAAATTCACACGTGTAAATGGCCTGCGATTCTGGCGGCGATAATCGCAGCGAATTCGAACATGGTTGAAATTATCGAGGCGATTTTTCGCAAAAGTACCAAAATCTTCTCTCTCCACCCCACTCGGGCTGAATTTTGCACTGTTTTGTAAACATGAAGGCGGAGACGATGAAAATATTCTTCCTATAGGTAATCCCACATTTTAAAATATGAAGTATCTGTTGTTTGAGAGACTTCCAGAACGAAGAAAATTGCTCTCAGGCTTTGATTAGATGCTGGAGAAATAATGAAATCGAAGAAATTTATTCGACAGGAAATAATTATTGTTCATCTCAGCAATATATAGCGGATTGCCGAATAAAGCAATTTCGCGACAACTGAAAATTTCTAGTGGGGGAGTCCAGAAAATACTCCAACATTATCGACGACATGGAACTGTGTCTCCATTTCGCTGAAGGCGGGAACGTTAACGTTCCCTAAAAAATTATTGATGATATCCTCCAAGTAATTGAGGCATGGAAAT